GTGAGTGTCTTGATGTTGATGATGGCTGATGCTAACGCAGTTTAGACAGTGATGGTGATATGCGTCAGATACATTTCCCCTTTCTCTCTACGTATTTGTTTTTTCAGGGTTTAGATTTAAACAGTATTGCTGAAATATATTAAATTAAAAAATAAAAATTAATTTTTATTTAATAAACTACTCAATTAAAATGATTTATATTGCATTGGCAATAATTTTAACATTAATTTTTATGTTTTTAATACCAATTAATAAACAAATATGTGAATCAGCTTTCAAGTCGAAGTAGTTCACCCCTAAATCTTAAAGTATTTAGCTTAATTAGTCGAGTTTCAAACTCCCCCAACGCTTTAAAAGAATCCCTCATCTTCAAAATTGTAAACTGTTAAAAAAATATATATATTATAATTTTTAATTTGTATTCTAAAACACATCTTAAAAAAACGTTTCTTAAAAGGAAATTCAAAGAGATTGGATTGTACGAATCATTCGTTTTATTCCCTTACGCTAACCTTTTGTCTGAATATATTATGTTTCCCATTTTAAAACCCCTCTCAAAAAATTTTGTGATAATCGAATGAGACTTCTCATTTTCTGATTTGGTATTTATAAGCGTAAGTTTTTTTCCTTTTTTATATACACTTCGAAATAAGTTATTATTTTTGCTTTATTTTACTTGTCATACTTTTATTTGATTAGATTAAATAAAAAATTATAAAGATTTATAAAAGTACACTTATATCCATCTTCTATAGATGGGTAGCCATTCAAAAATTATCTTGCAATCAATAAAAGTACACATATTATTATTTAAAATTTCATATGCTCAAAAGAAAGAAAAATTATTTAAAATTTCATATTTGCTTTTATTAATAAAAATTTTCTAACTTATATCATAAATGTATAGGTTAAGAGTGCTTATTAAATATTTTTATCATCAAGTTGTGAGAAAAATTACATAAATAAATTTTATTTTTAATATTAATATTATGTAAAACATTTTAATTGAACAATTAAATATTTTAATTGAGCAATGAAACAATACAATTAGGGCACAACTTAGAAAAAAAACCATCCTAGTAAGAGTAATAAGAAAGATTTTTTTTTTTTTAATCTTAAATTGCACAATAAGAAGTGACATTCCCTCATCTCTTAACTTATCTCATCTGTGTGTTATATAATTCAAACTCAGGCTTCTATTAAAAGAAAATTATCGCGAAATTACTTAGGTTGTTGGTAGTAATATATAGGAAAGTTAGGTTTTTTTTAAAATAATAATTATTAATAGAGACAAAATTAGAAAAAAGACTTTAATGTTATATTGAAAATTAAAATTGTTTAACACCAATAATACTTATACAATTT